TAACAAATGATAAAATAACTTGGAAATTTTAAAGGAACTAGTTGTTAACTCAATTAACTAGTGCTGACAGTTAACAACATCACTTTTACAGTCTTCTTAAGGTTTAGAAACTCTCTGCGTTTTACTAGTAATATTGAGATGTCCCTTGTTATTGATTGGAAAACCTTGATCTTTTTACAATATTTTCCTTATTAGATCTTTTTAGCATAAGTGGTTTGAAGCTCACGGCCTCTGTTTTATGTCCCGTCATTTTTTATCCGGTCCCTCTTATGGTTTTGTCTCTAAACTGGAACACAGTCTCTCTCGGCAAAAACTGCCCGAGTCCCGTAACGCGCATAGAGCACGGGAGACGATAGGAAGTGCGCGTGTCGTGTGGCTGAAAGTGACGTGCGCGTCCAACGCGCGCAGTGTACTCGCACACTTTCAGTCTGTATTGGGTCCGTCACTGTCCGAGATTCCCTTTTTATGCCAAACCCAAAACTGGAAGGAGCTTTTCACCCAATTGTTCACATCTGACAGGCGAATTCTCCTCAAAACAGTTCGTTTATCTGTCCTTCGAGGTCGCATTATTGCTCATACTCGGTTGAAACAAGCGAACTTCCCTTACAAGATACATCTTCTCTTGCACGCTTCTCTCCACTACATCCTTCTGTTTTTCTTGCTGTAATCTGAACACTTTTTCTTTAAGATCATCATTTTGATCACGGAGCAATTCCACAAATCTGTCTTTCCTCTCCACTGCCATTCTTAACCGCTCCATTTCCGCCAAACACGAAGCCGAATTATTTGAATACAAGAAGAAAATAAATGTTGACCACATCATTGCGATGGCAAAAATGGCGTAGCTGAATCGGGCACCTCCAATCATCTTTCACATTCTATGCTTTCGAAACTTGAGGAATATAATATATCAGTTCTTGCTCGTAACTCGGCTCAGGTTTCCAAAGTGAACTTCTCTGTTGTGTTTCGCTCTTTCCTTGAACATACAATCTTTACTTTTCATTTGCCGTCGCTGACGGAGATTTCAGTCAAACATCTGCAAATATACGAATTAATTTTACTGATATGAGATTGCTAGCCACAGATTGCGGTTGCACAGAAGATAACCAGAATCTATTTCAAAAGTTTTACTCTTAAATAGGAAAATAATATTCGTTCACGCCAGCTGACCAATTATCTCCCCCTCCATTCAGAAAAAAAAGACACGCATTTTGATAAACGGTAAATATCAACTTTCTGTCTTATTAAATCCTGTTTGTTACAAACATTAAATAAATAGATCTTGAAACGAGAATATAACGCTTTTCCAACCAATTGCGAAATTGTTTGCTACTTACTGTCTTGTACAAAGGGCAGCGCAAAAGTGGTCGATTCGGCCGTTCTCGGTAAAACATAAACGTGGTATTTTTCACCGCTTGAAAAATTGAGATAAATTTCGCTTCATTTTCTCGTTAACCACATGCAGAGCGATCGAGCCATTGCGCTGAGCATTGCCATG